GCAGCCAGAGCAAGATTAAACCCCCTGCCATGTTTCTGAGGTCAGTACTGCCCACCAAAGGAAAATAGGGTCGCGCAACAACAACTTAATTCCTAATTTGACTGACATATTGTTTAGAAAGCATAAGGCTACTTCCACACTGAGGAGTTTTTTTTTGAAGCATTTTTGCGTTAAAAAAAGCACCTGAAAAGCTCAAGAAAAATGCTTCCCTATATATGTGAATGTATATCTATGTATGTTTTCACGCTTAGGCGATGTGCTTGTGGTGTGGTGTAAGAACTCCTGCTTGCAGTATCTTTGGGGCATGTTTGGTGAGTAAAACAAAACACCCCAAAAAACGCCTCTTCCCATTGAAACCAATGGAAAATGCCTGAAAAGCATCTCAAAAACGCCTCTGAAAAGCATTTTTGGTGCAGTTTTTAAGTCACGTGTCCTTTAAAAATTGCTCAGAAAGCGCAGCAAAAGTGTTGTAAAAAACACCTATGTTTTTTCCTGTGTTTTTACGGTGGATCAGTGTGGGCACCTAAAGTGCCGCAGTAACCCTAAAGTGATTGTAAACCTGAAAAAACATACAATAATCTGATCATGCCACTGAATAACATTTACTTGTACTAGGCATTTGAGCTTAGTTTCACGTCTAGAAGCATTACAGTTCTTCAGCAATCATCCCTGCTCTGCTGCACTGACTTAACCCGACACCAAGAATTCTAGAAGGATGGCCCTCCCTTTCTCTTGTGATTGACAGGCTGTACAGAGAAGACACCTGCACTAGACATACATACAGATACTGGGTTTCTGGTGCTGAGTACACTCATGAGCTGAGACAGAGCATGTCTGTTTTGCTGAAGGGAGTATATAGTGTGGGGGGGGATCTTGTGACATAAAGACTCCAGTTTTAAGCCCATGGATTGGAAGGAATAGGAGGGCTGAACAAGCTAGGGCAGTGTTTTTTCTGAGATGCAGTCATATGTGTGTTTACATTATAATGCATTAATTGGTCATAGAATATTGTTTTTTTAGATGTGCATTTACACCCACTTTAAAATATTATATATTACCTGATCCATTTTTGGATGGAGTGCTGGCTAGCTTAGGCTATAGGCAGTAAACACAGAAGTTTGAGAGGTTTTTAATATTCTGTAGCATGTTACCGAGAATATAGAAATTGTAATGCAAGCTTTATTTCAGAAGGAAGAATCTCACACAAACCTAGGAAATATATACTCTGCGAATTCAAAGGCACTAATCTACTAAAAGAATAATTTTACACTGGCCTGTGTCTTTGCTTCAAATGCCATATCACTTTCCAATGTTTTAGTTTATAAATATTCTCCTGACATGACTAGCGTAAAAATGAACCCAACGTAAAAATGAACCCAAGTTGTTGTAAATAAGGTTCTAATAGTAATCAATATTGCCTCCTGCCCATGCCTCCTCCCTGATTTTCCACAAAGATCAATAATACAACTAACTATCCCTCCCCTCACACCAGGGAAATTGGTGTAGCCCTAAAAACTCACCTGTGCTTTCAGCCCCAAATCCAATCACTCTCAAAAGCTTGTAGACTTCACCTTCATAACATTTAAAAAATTCACCCTTTTTTAACTAATGAAACCATCAAGCTACTTATTTACTCCCTTGTTATCTCTCACCTTGACTATTGCAACTCTCTTCTCATAGGCTTACCTCTACACAGCCATTTCCTCCTTCAGTCTATCATTAAAGTGATTGTAAATGTAATAAAAAAAAAAAAAAAAAAAACATGTCTCACTTATCTGCTCTGTGCAATGGTTTTTGCACAGAGCAGCCCCAATTCTCTATATTTTGGGTCCCCCGTCGATTGTCCTGGCTGTTCCCCCCCTGCCAAATGCACCCAATAGCAAGCCTCCTGCTATGGGGGCACTCAAGCAGGCTGGCTCCTGAGCCACACTTCTGTGAATGGACATTGTCCATTTACACACAGAGCTCGGCTCGGCCCTGTGCCCCACTCTCTAATTATTGGATCACAAACTGTGATTGACAGCAGAAGGAGCAAATGTGTGAACCAAGGAGGAGAGAGAGACCTAGGCTCTTATGCACTGAGGGGCTGAGGGGAAAGCTCAAACCGTAAGGTTTTTGTTTACCTTAATGCAGAGAATGTGCCTTTTCCTTAATGCATAAATTAATATTAAAAATGTCTGCCTTTAGAACCACTTTAATGTTGCTGCCAGACCCGTGCAGCTTACCAACCGCTCAGTGTCTGCCACCTCTGTCTGCCAATCCTTCCCCTGGCTTCTGATTGCCCAGCAAATTGAATTCAAAATATTGAAAACAATTAAACAATCCATCCACAGCTCTACCCCAAGCTACATCACCAATCTTATCTCAAAATATTACCCAAAACTGTCCTCTCCGCTCTGCAATTGTACTGTACTCTCTCTTTATTTTGTAAAGTGCTGCACAAACTGTTGGAGCTATATAAATCCAGTATAATAAAATAATAATAATCAGACCTAAGCCAAACAGAATCTCTGTTGGGTTCTCATGCATGTTCGCCCTCCTTCCAGTCCCAGAGCCAGTTTAATTCACATTAAAGACTGCAGTTATATAGATAACTTAGAATCTAAGGGGGGGGGGGTTTACTAAAACTGGTGCACTCAGAATCTGGTGCAGCTATGCATGGTACCAAATCAGCTTCTAACTTCAGCTTGTTTAATTAACTGTTGGCAACTGCAAGCTGATCGGTTTCTATGCAGAGCTGCACCAGATTTTGTACTTTCCAATTTTAGTAAATAACTTCCTAAATGTTTCTGTACTATTGATTATTTTTAGTATTAGATAAAGTATTAGATAAAGTGGTGGAAAGTTAGAAGCTCCACCAGGATTTTGGTGTTTGTGTCCATCATGAAAATTTCCCTCTTGGCCTGTCAAGTTTACAGGTGTCAGAAAGAACAAGAAGCTAAGGGAGAGCCCAGAAAATGTAAGACCTGAAAACATTTTTAACCATTCTAGTGTCATTCAAAAAAAAAAAGAAAAAATCTGAGTTTACCCTTGTTAAATTTCTGTTCTTTAAGCTAGAACCTTTGAAAATTAGGCTTTGTAAATATGTGTATTACATGAGACAGTACTTGACTTTGTATGTACAACACATATTTAAAATAGAACTCCTGAATAATGGAGGTAGCACAGCTCCTGTCCACATAGGGCTGTTTTTAATGAAGAAAGGAAAAAGTGGGACTTGTTATAGTACCTTGTGTGCATTTTAAGCCTTCTTTGTACATTCAAGTCAGGATGGGTGTTATATCTAGCGATCAGGCACATTGCCCTATTAAAAGAATTAAAGAACAAAGCAGTAACCATTTGCAGTGTGGTTTTTCACATATATCCATCAGCGTGCTGCTCAGTCAGAGCTTTCTCAGACGGTTGGAACACGAAACCATACAGGGGGTCTTAGCCATTCATCATCATCCTAAGTGCAGCTGTCATATTACATTCTCCCACCTTGTCAGTACTGCAGGGTTTGCTGGGCTGGCTGGTGCCACTCACAGAAGGCCAACAGGTTAAAAGCAGGAAGAATGTTAGGTCTCCTAGTAAGTTACAATTAGAACATACAAAAACTGAGAGAAAGTCAATTCAGTGAAAGTGCCCTGCTCAGTCTTTCCATACCAATGTCTCAGTTTACCTCAAAGAAATTTGCCTGAAACTTACTAATGACAACTGTTTCATGCTTGTCACTGGAACAGGTGTCTCCATTAAAAGATTTACCCTCACCTCTTCTTCTGGTGACAAGCCTAAAAAGCTAATATTTCCCATCATTTCTGTCCTAGTTGGTGATGTTAACAATGGTTAACAGGACAAATACTGTAGAGAAGGTATATATATACATAGCCGGGACATATACAGCATAAAAACTTGACATTCTATTCAAAGAAAAAAAAGGGTTTTGACTTTGTATACACTTTCCCATTGCACCAATCCACTGCAACCTGGATTGGTGCAATGGCAAAGTGTATACAAAGTCGAAACCCTTTTTTTTGTTTTTGTTTTTTTTTTCTTTTTTTTCATGGGTTTCCTCTGGGTACCCCAGTTGCCTCCCACACTCCAAAGACATGCTGGTAGGTCAATTGATTCCTGTCCAAATTGGCCCTAGTATTATTATTATTATACAGTATTTATATAGCACCAAAAGTTTGCTCAGCGCTAGTATTTTTATTTTTTAATTTCTGTGCAAGTCTTGATTTGCTTAGCAAACTGAAGCATATATATAACTATGCCATGCTCCCAAGTGATGGTGTTCAGGCACTTTGAGCTACAATGCATTGAGGCAGGGAGAGAATCTTTTGACTGCTTAAAATGGAACTTTAGTCAGAAAATTAGGATTTGCTAGATTACTTCAGACTGGTCCTTTTTGCAGGTATAACTGTAAAACATTAACCACTTGCCCTCCAGAGGATTTACCCCCCTTTCTGGCCATTTTTTGTGGTACATCATTGCGTTACTTTAACTGACAATTGTATGGTCATGCAATGCTGTACATAAATGACATTTATGTAATTTGTTTTCCAACAAACAGAGCTTTATTTTGGTGGTATTTGATCACCTCTGCATTTCTTATTTTTTGCGCTGTAAACAAAAAAAGACCGACAATTTTGAAAAAAAACACTATTTTTGACTTTTTGTTATAAAATATATCCAATAAAAAAATTTTTAAAAATCAAATTTCTTCATAAATTTAGATCAAAATATATTCTGCTACATATCTTTGCTAAAAAAAAATCCCAATACGTATAAATTCATTAGTTTACGTGAAAGCTATAGCATCTACAAATCGTGGTATATATACTGGAATTTTTATTTTTTAATTTTTTAAACTGGTAATGGCAGCGATCAGCTACTTATAGCGGGACTGCGGTGGGCATTCTGACACTGGGTAGCAACTGACTAACTGCCACTGACATCCTCAGTGACACTAATACAGTGATCAGTGCTAATAAAAAGCACTAACACTGTACTAATGACACTGGGCAGGAAGAGGGTTAACATGTGAGGTGATCAAAGGGTTAACTGTGTGCTGTGTTTGTTTCACTGTGTGCTGTGTTTTACTAGGGAAACATTTCCATGCTGACATGAGAGAGACCAGTGTTGTTTATACATAGGTCTCTCTCCTGTCACCTTTACCCGATGATCGCCGAGTGCAGGCCAGGAATCGCCAGCCGGGACCCAATGATTGACAATGGTTAGCACTTCCACCTGGCAGTACTAGGTAGTTGGTTCGAACCCCAACCACGGCACCCCCTGCCTGGAGTTTGCATGTTCTGCATTGATTCCGGTCCAAATTGGCCCTAGTATTATTATTATTATTATTATTATTATTATACAGTATTTATATAGCACCAAAAGTTTGCTCAGCGCTAGTATGTATGAATGTAAGTTAGGGATCTTAGACTGTACGCCCCTTGAGGGTTAGGGACTGATGTGAATGTACAATATAGATGTAAAGCGCTGCATAAAATTGACGGCGCTATATAAGTACCTGAAATAAATAAAATAAATCCCTAGCCGCCAATAGCAGAGCCCCCTACCCGGAAGTGAAAATATATACATGATTTTGCTCAGCCCTGTAGCAGTACTTCTACTTTAGGGTGGCAGGAAAGTGGTTAAAAATCAGTGCCCAAACGGTTTAAAATTCAGTAATAAAGCTCTTTTCCTGATCTGTTGCTTTCTATTTTTCGGGACTGTGCCGAAAATTTAGAGGCCAACTTTCTGACAATCTAAAGATTTACTGCTGTTCAAGGTCTCTGGGCTTCAGCAAAATGGCAGCCTTCAGCAAAAAGAAATAGGAACACTAGTTTTGGTAGCATAATTATTGATGTGGAATATAATTTTCCTTGCTAAAGAACATTATTTTTTATCAGGTTGTGGGTAATGTTCTACTTTAAAGCAAATTAGCAGCCACCAAAACCCAAAAGATGCAGAAGTATAAGATCAGTACATGTAATTATTTATGTTACTTGGGTTGTCGCGTAAATCTGTCTTTGCAAAATATTTTAAATTAGCACATATGAGTATGCAAGTAGCAAATTTGAGTGTAAAAAATGCATGTGGCCTTGGAAAAACTCTTAGCATAGAAATACCCTGGATATGTATATGTTTGAGTTGTAATGCAACCTGAGTCGATGTTTACTCTCATTTAGAAGAACAGCTGTAGCTTTTGACACTATTTGCGTTTGTTCATTTAGAACCTAGATACAGAGAAATCTTAATGGACACCAAGGGTGTATTTATATTAAAAAAAATTCAAATGGCATTTTACCTGGTGAAAGTGCACATACATTTGTTCTGTGCAAAAAAGGGAGAAAAATTAATGTTAGGCTATGTCCTGTGATGATCAAATGTTTTTCATTGATTTTAAATATCATTCAATCAAATCAATATTTAAACTTAAATCAATGAAAACCAGCACAAGAAAATTTCCTTTTCTGCCCTGTCTCACAGAACAAATGTACATGCACTGTAACTGAGAGAACTTCCATTTGAATTTTTTTTTTTAAACGCCCCCCTAAGTGTTAGTCATATTACTGAAACAGTAAAAGATAATGTGTAAGGCTTTATGCCTGTTAATAAAGTATGCATACTGTACCTTATATATATTTAATGTAAAAAGAGCTTACCCAGTTTTTGCAAAGTTTGCCCAGTATCTCATTATGTTTTTGCTCAAAATTTCTTCCTCTTTTGTATAATTAAGTCGTCTGTGCATTGGGATTCCAAATACAAATTCAATCTCATACCCATGCATTACTCCCATCCAGCTTGGCCATGCCATCTTGGAAGATCTGTGACTGAAGAAGTACAAATAAGCTTTGTTTCCAAGTTCAAAATTTCTATTTGTGAATTCCAGAAGAGGACATATAAAATTGTAATCTCCCACAATATCATCCATGGCATCCCGATTGTGAGTGGGATTTTGTTCATCTTCCCAGTTTGTGTAATGAAAAAGGATACAGTCTATTGCAAGTTCAGTGGCTTTTGGAAAAGCCAATTTTATACTGTCTTGGAATTGAGTCCGATTTATAAAACTTTCATGATCCTTGCTAAATCCAGGTAGTAGATACACTAAGAAATATGATCCCTCATCTTTATTAACACCTGTTAATATTTGTGTATTCTTTTTAAGCTGTCCAAGTTGTAACAAATGCTTGGGTAAATCGATGAGAAAATCTCCATCAACTGTTGGAGGAAAATTAATTTCTATTAATGATCTCTGTGTTAGAACAGAAAATGACTTTTCAATTATTTCTTGAGGAGTCTTACTCCGAAGACAAGCAATTATTTCAGTTTCATTTCTGAAGGAACAGCCTAATAGGTTTGCTAATGTAAGTGCTCGAGTGCGGGCTTCTGTACTACCGACAACTCCCCAAGGGGCATTAGCACTCCCACTTTGCATAATAGCTCTTGTGAAATAAGGATGACTTTTAGGAGAAAGCAGGTGATAACTGACTGACCCTGCTCCAGCACTTTCTCCAAAAAGTGTTATGCTTTTGGGGTTCCCACCAAATGCTGCAATATTCTCATAGACCCACTTTAAAGCTAATCTTTGATCAAACAAACCGACATTCCCTGGAGCCTCAGTATTATGTGGGAAAGCTATAAATCCTAATGCACCCACTCTGTAGTTAAGTGACACAACAATGACACGTTCATTGCGGGCCAGAAACTTTCCATCATAAATATCCAAAGAGGCTGTTCCAGTTTCAAAACCACCACCATATATCCATACCATGACACTGGCATTTCTTGGCTTTGGACTAGGTATCCATATATTAAGGTAAAGACAGTCTTCACTGAGTTCAGTGTTAGGACTCCACATTTCAGCACCAGAAAAACCAGGGAATGTTTGGTCCACATACTGATAACATGAATTTCCATATTTTGTGGCATTCCATACTGCAGTCCAAGATTTGATGGGTTCTGGTCTTTTAAATCTCAGAGATCCAACTGGGGGTTCTGCGTAAGGTATTCCAAAGAATGCTGTGATTGTTTTAGAAAACACTGGTATCTGAATCCCTCTTACTTTGCCATCTTTGGTCAGAACAACGTCATCATCTTCACAACAGACATTTGTGCAAAACACATATATTACAGTCAAGAAGATTGCAGAGATTTTCTTTTCATGTGAGAGATTGTACCACATCACTGATAACTGCAACACATAAAACAATTTGTTACAGATTTATATATATGCATGGCATTGATGACATATTCTGGCAAACAGCATACAGCAAGGAACCAAAACATTTCACTCTGACTATTTAACAAATCTCTATGAGTAAGTGTTCAACAAACCTTTTCTTAGTGGGACAATGTCCCACCAAAATGTTACATACTGTCGTTTTAAACATCAAGTTCAACCATTAAAAATATATAAATTATTTGACAACCTGCATCCACAGAACTCTAAACCCACAGTCAATCCAGAAAAAGAAAACTCCATGTGTGGGACAATTTTATCCAATAAGAAAAAATTCCCATCTGATCCCCAAAAGTAATTGGATATTTCCTGGATCAACAAACTATAGTGTTATTACCTATAAATATTAAATAAATATATTTTTTTAAACATTCTACGGAGTTGGTCAGAAGTAGCTTCAGTGAGTTTGTCACATAAACGTGTGTTTTTACTTCTCTGGAGCAGGAAAAATCATGCTGAACGTTTCCATTTATGTTCCTTTCATATTAAACAATTAAGAGAATTAAAGTTAAACATATTTTTCCCAAACACAGAGCTAAAACAAGATATAAATAGATTACATTTTAAATAGTATCACATCCGCAATTATCAGGGCTAAACTTAGAACTCTGTATTACTCTGTAACAGATATAGTCAAGAATCCTTTCCTTTCCAAGGGTAGAGCTGATGATTGAAAGCTACACAGCTAGTCAACAGAAGCAGTACTTGTTCCAGTATTGTTGTTTTAAAGGCAAATTTGTCTTTATTAAGTTTTACACCATAGTATACAGAAAAGAAAAAAGGGGGGGAACTAGCGATTACATATGCATGTGAATAATCAATAGGCTCAAACAGGTGATGAGCCAAAGAGATAATATAAAAGTCAGTGAACTTCACCAGTCAAATTAAGTAAACCTGGATAAATAACATGAAAACCCCTAAGACATATATCCTGAGAATCTGTCCCTATAAAGGGCATGAGAAGCAGCAACATATGTCTGGGTGGAGTGCACCGAATAAAAGAAACAAAGAAAAAGGGGAAAGAGTGAATGAAAGGAAGGAAGGAGCACAGGAAAAAAGAAAAGAAAGGAGGAAGTGTTGGGAGCCGGGAAAGACAAGGGGCGAAGCAAAAGTGGAACAACTTCAAAGGGGTCCCAGGGGGGAAATCAAATCTCGAAAACCAAAAGCAACTGCACTAATACAAGGCAGGCAGCCGTGGGTCCAGCAGACCAAATGAATGAGGTCTAAGGCACATCAGGAGCATACAAGTCACAAAGGGTCGAGGAGGAAAAAATGGAGCCAGACTGACCATAATAATTTATGTTTTTCATAGGTATCATTAGCAAATGCCAACATCTCTTCCATTCGCATGATATCATTACTCGCAAAAACCCACAGCAGTAGGGTGGGGCATTTTCCAAAAAAGAGGTATCAATTGACGAGCCGCAGACAGGAAGAAATGGAATAAACATTTCTTCTGTGCCACCAGTGAGCCTGGTAAAATGGAGAGAAGAGCAATCTCCAGCGAAGAGGTCAAGGACTCACCATAAATTTTATTCTAGACTTCAAAAACTTGGTGTCAAAAGGGACGAGTTTTATCACAATCCCACCAAATATGAAGCTGAGTGCCCCCAGCCATATTACAATGGCAACAAAGATTGGACGTAGTTGGAAAAATCCTGTGAAGGGAATAGGGGTCTCTATACCAGTGGGAGAGGAGCTTAAAATTCTTTTCTTGAGAGTAGCAAGAAATAGAGGATTTATGTGTGAAGTGAAACAACGTAAACCATTCCTCAGCAGATATGTCTCTAGTCCATGCTCCAGCGAAGGGTGGAAGTTCAGAATGAATTGCGGAATGCAAAACTTTGTAAAGAAAAGCCAGAACATGTCACGGAGGTTCCGAAAGGGAGCACAATTGCCAAAACTCTTTTTAAAAAAAAAAAACTGATGTAAATTGACATACAGTCCTTTTCTACTTTGGTAAAGGATGTAAAAAATTGGATGCAAACTGATGAAAAATGGATGTAAACTGATGAAAAACTGATGTGAACTGATCCATTTTTCTTGGAAAAAATGTGACTGAACTGATGAAAAAAATGAATCACCTGTGTGAAAGGACCCTAAGAGATTATTTTGTTACATGCGATTTTGTGCAGTTAGAAAAAATAAAGCTGACCATGTCCAGGAATGATGTATTGCAACTATCTGTACATAACCATGGGTAATCGCATTGCACAATTTCACATGCAGATATCAGGGGCAAGTAACAAAAGAAAAACAACAGGAAGCACATCATAATCACAAGGGATACCTGGGAAAGACCCTGGAAGTTGCAGGGAGGGTAAAAATAGAGATAAGAGCTATGGCAGCCCAGAGATATGGGACCCTGAATGTCCAGGATACTCGGGCAGAGTCATGAAATGGTTGAAATGGGAAGAGCTGTACTGATTTTTGAGGTGAGTGAATAGGCTGTGGGAGGGGTGTAAAGGTACACATACATGGGAATAGTTGCCCATAGCAACCATACCTAGCAAATGCATTTTCCTAGGATAATTATTTTCTATAGTCAATTAATGCTCCATCCATCCCATTTCTTCATATCTATAGTATTTGCCAATGGAATATATTGCAGGAAAGGAGATATTAAAATGGAGGACCCTATGTGACCACTACAAAAAGGAACTCCATGAAGAGAGGTCTACAGAGAGAAGTAGAAGTAGAACAGCTGCAATGTGCTGTAGACCTAACCCCTATGCAGAGGCTTTCTCATTTTTGAGGCACACCATAGAGATGCAGCTGTAAGTTTATGTTGCTTTTTTTGCATCCAATAAAATGCTGGTATTGCCTAAATGTAACTACCTGATTACATGCCCTGTCTCTGGATAATACAATATTTTCCACTGCTATCCTCAGCACAACTCACTAGTCCAGCATAGTAATCATACTCCATCTGTTGCTAGGGGACAATCCTGTACTTTGCGGCAGGTATCTAAAACACCCCCAAAAAAAACAAATAAAAAGGGGGGGCTAATACTGAAATAACTATATTGTTTGCACAGAAATTATTCATGAATCTTGATCCTCCAAGTTGTATGCTATTATGTTTACCTAAAATCGTCTCAAACATTCCTGCAAGATCAAGACATGCAAGTGTGTCTTCAGACAATGAGACTGAAGGAGAAACAAACCAAGCAACTAATGCAGAGGCAGTTGCTCCTGAGGAAGATAAACCACCTACTCACGCAGCTGTGGTATGTTTCTTTCAAAATGTCACAATTGTCATGTCACAATCCAGTTTCTGCAAGCCATCCTTAACCACTTCCCGCACAGCCTACAGCCAGATGGCAGCCGGGTGAGCAGCTCGTCCCTCTGGGTGGATGCCATATGGCGTCCTTTCAGGCATGCGCAGTTTGCCTCCCCAAAGAGCCGCGCAGCGGCACGATCTGTCACCGGCCGTCTACCTCGGACACGGCCGATGACAGATCTGTGTACCGGCCCCGTTGCCAGTACCATGTGACCTGCTGTGACCAATCACAGCAGGTCACATGACAGTTGTATACAATAGATGGCTTCCTTTCATGCCATCCATTGTATAGTAGTGTGGCTAGCTGTGAATGGTCACAGCGATCATATGCACAAGCTGGGCCAATCACAGCCCAGCTGTGTCATGTGATTAGCTGTGGCCAAATCACAGTTAAGCACAAAAAAAAACCCCTGAATGAATCGATTTCATTCAGGTAAATGCTTGCTTATAGAAAAGTAATTCTTTGCTATAAGCAAATTGTGTAAAAAAAAAAAAAAAAAAAAGCTGATCACTTCCCCAAAGTAGTACAATGTTACTATGGTAACATTATACTACTTTGGTCATAGTGAAATATGAAAAAAAAAAAACAAATCGTAAAAAAAGGAGAAAAAAAAATTAATAAAAAATAAAAAAATTTAAAAAAAAACAATTTTTTTTTTTTCGTAATGTTTACCAGTCACTGTCCCTGATCACCACCATGCCAGTTATATGATGACGCTGTACTGCACTGGTGACAGTATGTAAAAAAAACAGTGAAAATCATTTTTTTTATTTCTTCATTTCCGAAAAATTAGAAAAAAAAATTACAACTTAAAAAAAACTCGCCATGCCTGTTATGAAATACGTCGGACTGTCTACTTTGCAAAAAAGGGGTCATTTGGGGGATATCTGTACTGTTCTGACATTCTTGGACCTCAAGAAATTAGATTGGCTGTCAGTACTTCAGGATTGATTAATATTCAGATCTATACCATAGTTTGTGAACTCTATAACTTTCCTACAAACTAAATAATACATCCTAATTTGGGTTATTTCTACCAAAGACATGTAGTAGAATATATCATGGCCTAAATTTATGAAGAATAATTATTTATTTGCAAACTTTTATAATAGAAACAAAGAAAAACGTGTTTTTTTTAAAAAAAAATTTTTTTGTTTTTTTGTTAATTTATCAAAAAAAAAAAAATCCCAGTGGTGATTAAATACCACCAAAAGAAAGCACTAGTTGTGTGAAGAAAATGATAAAATTTTAGTTTGGGTACAATGTTGTATGACCGCGCAATTGTTATTCCAAGTGTGAGAAGCCCTGAAACCTGAAAATTGGCCTGGGCAGGAAGGGGGTAAAAGTGCCCTGTATGGAAGTGGTTAGTTTAAAACTGTTATTGCTGACACATTAAAAAATGGCAGCTGGTGTGTTGGTGCAGTGACATATTTGTAGAAAAGCATAATTTGTGTTCTCATTCTGTTTACTGGCAAATATGGATAAGAGAGTCTAGTAAAGTTCTACCACCCGTCCAACACACCATCCTGGCTAGCCATCCAAAACGAGCTCCCTATTGATCCTGAAGAATTAAAAAAATAATGCAAAACACTACCTCAAAGGTTGCTGATGAATTCCTCATTATCTCAGACTGTAATTTTTTGCAGAGTTTTGCTGACT